AAGTAGTGTAATATATCGTTCGATTTTTCAAGTCGTCTATATTTTCTGAAACAATTCTCATCCAATTGAGTTACTTAACAGAAAAGAATAATAATAGTAGATCAAAACAATTATGTTTACAATTTTCACCCATTTATCCTTAAAACTACTCAATGTCATTGAACATAATAGCATTTTATAATACAAAATGGTCCCATACTTTTATCACAGAAAATATCCGAGAATTAAGAATGGTCCCATATTTACACAGAAAACAATGCATTTCAAATTTTGGAAAAGACCTACCTATCCCAATATGATATTTTAATTTGTTCTATAAGAAATTTGTGGCGATAAGATACACATATTGATGTCGACGAAGTTGGCAACTTCTGAAGATTAGAGGAGGGTCCCCTCCCCATTTTCTATCCAGTTGCCTTGTTTTTCCTATTGATTTCAGAGATGAATACAAAAACACCTTTTGGACGTGCATGGTAATCGGCAATTGGCAATGGCATGGCACCGTAAAATTTGATTCATATTTAACCTCTAATCACTTTGATTACTATTAATAAGTAATTAGGCGATCCATCAGTTTACAACTGCGCGCAAAGCATTCTTGGATTAAATTTTGTAGCACGCTCGTGTGATCTTATCAGATCCACTTTGAACGATTTAGTTTCATGATTTATATAGTCTTCACTAATTTCTGTGTATTCTAGTGTAGTAGTTGGAGGCTGGTGTTATGAAAAAGGACTGATCAGGAATCGTTCATTGTTTTTGTATGCTAAAACATAACATAGTTCTGCATGTATGTGGCTTGTCACTTTTTTATTTATTAAAAACGATTAAGAATGGACATAAAATAGACATGTCAAATATAGTACGCATGTCAAAAAAAAAAAAGAAAAAAAAAGAAAGACTTCTTTATAAGTACAAACTCATTATGAATATACTACAATCGCTCAACCACAAAGGATCTACATCTAACCAACATGAAAGATAATACTTAGGAGAATTAAACCTTGGAAGTCATAAAACTATCGTAAAGGCATCATGAGGAAATGACCGCATCTTGTAATTGTTGAAACATTGCAATAAGTCACTTTGAACAAACATCGAGCTTCATTCTCAAATTTCTTTTCTATATGCACAAACCACAGGAAACGCAAAAAATCATGGGGCTTTTAGATCTAGGTCCAAAAACATAGATGATTTTTAGGAGTGAGTCCAATTATCTAATTACATGTTTTTATTTCTTTTATATTCATTTTATATTTTTTAAAAATATTAAAAATCTTCTAATATTATGCATTTTTCAACTTCAAAAAATCTAATTAATATCTTACAACAACAAAAACTAATATACTAACATAAATTATCTACAAAACATTCTACCTTAACTCAAGTAACAAATATATGAATATATATTATACCTGTAAGCGAGATATGAAATCTAACTAAAAGGTAGGAAAAAACATAATATACCTACAAGCAAGACACATTAATTTGTGACATGTTGATTATAAAAAAAAAATGTCATATAGATACGTAAAAATAATTAACCTGTGATATAGGTTGATTATAAAAATTAAAAATAAAATCTATAAATGAGGTTTAAAGTAGGACGAAGAGCAAGAAATAATAAAAAATAAAAAGAAAAAGAAATAATCAAAGAGATAATTAGGAAGAAATTTGATTTTTATAATAAATCTTATCATTAAATAGATAATTATTGATAATTAAATAATTAAATTTAAGGAATTAGACTATTCCTACTATTGACTAAAAAAATTGGACTTATATCAAGTTTTCTTAAAAATCATTCCCTCAACTCAAAACAACAATCCCTGCTAAAAGATTAGAGTTTTAGTCACAAACCATAGACGCTACAACTTACAAAGCTTTCCTCCACAAAATGAGAAGGCAACTACAATCAAGAATGCTTTTCTCGACATAATGAAAGAGCGAACACAACTAGAAGATAAGGATAATTAAAACATAAGAGAATAAAGAAGGGAAGAGACCAAGAGCCGACCCCTAAATCAAATGCTGGGGTCGACGACTGCTTATTTTTAGCCCTATTTAGTTTTCTCTCTAGCAGCTAAGGTTTTTTCAATTACAAAAACAATTGTCAGATATTGCCATAGCATAACTTCTAAATTAAAGATTGCAAAAATCGAAGATATTTTAAGACTAAATAATGAATTAATCCACCAAGAATATTTTGGCTAGCACATGTAATTTTCTTGAGCTACACATATAACTTGTCTTATTCCACAATTAGCCGATTTCAAATTTATCCATATGGCCGAAAAAAAAAAAAAATGGTTTCACACTGCTTAAGAGATTAATTAATCTTCTGACATTAAAAAAATGAGATTAATTAATCAATAAATTTGTATGAATCGACCTAATATTTGATTACTGTCTAATAATCTCATCCTCGAATAACATAATCAATTATTTCGTAGGTTCGACAGGATCCGCGATGCGTGGCGCCAAGCGCCAGGGCCTGTGCGACGTCAGCCGCCAGAGACGCCGTCGTTTGGTCAGTGCATTGGCTCCTGTTAACGTGCTCCGTGAGTGAAGAATTTCGCATCATCGAAAAATGGCCCATGCTTGTCATGATTACAATCCGTGAAATGAATCGACGGTTCATCAACAGCGGTGACCGGTTACGGCAGGTGGAGGAGTTTGGATGCGACTGGTCGGAGGTCATATTTGCGTGGGTCCCCCGCGGTGGTCCAGACGTGACCTGTGACAGGTCTTTCTCTCTCTCAGCTCACAGCTGGGTGTTGGGTTGAGGGCATACGGCTAGGGTCGGAGAGTATGGCATTTATGGCAAAGGTTGTTAAATTGAACGGGGGTGGGGGCTACAAGAATATGGACAACAAGGGCAGGGTTTTGAATCTTTTTAACTAATTTAATTTTTTGCTGAGAAAACGAAAATATAAAACAATAACTATTTAATATTACGATTTAGTGATATTTTTATTCATTCATAAGTGAAAGGTCTTAGGTTCTATTCTTTCACTAAAAGCGAATTTAAATCACATTATCGATAGCCAATTGTCTTAGTGTTGATTAATATAAAACATCGCTTGTATTAACAAAAAAAAAAACATAGATAACTCTTCACTTGTAATTGCTACATGCCTTTTTAAGAAAATATTTTCAAATATAATCCAAATACATTGACAAGTATTTGAACTTGGTTGTGTACGGATGCAGTGAAAAGAACACACCATTTTTTTTTTTTTGGCCAAACACTAGATTTGTCATTTTATGTGTTAAATTAGAGAGCTGATAAGATTTGAATCAACGCCATAGTACGTGCAAGCACAACACTCATCTTCAGTCTTCACTGCTGTGGTAGAAGATCACTTGTAGTGAAAACAATCTTATTTTTGATCGAATGTGCGACATCAAAATGGAGTTATAATTGTTAATAAATCTTACATGAATCTTGTATTTACTATTTTATTTCTACTTATTTTGCAAAATTTGATGTAACCATCGAATTAGGTTAATAGAATAGAAAGAGATTTGCGCCAAAATTATTGAAATCTCAATCAATTATAATTTGTGGTAAATGCAGGTCAAATAATTAGCATAACTTTAGGACATTGAAATCAGCAAACTTTGGGACATTGAAGTGATCAAGTTATACAACTTTTCGGCTAATTCAAATCCACTGTCAGCATATCAGACCGGACCCCTTTTCTCCTTCCACATTGTGGCTCACTTCCCTTTAATTCAAATAAATTTTCCTTTAATTCAAACTAATTTCCTTGAATAACCTTTAATTAGGGCAGTGCATTTAATACACCCATATTTACGTTCCACACTTCTTGTTAATTTATGTTTTTTGATTTTCTTCAATTCATCTGATCCAACGCCTGAAAGTTAAAAGGAATATCCAGCAAGTAAAAAAAGATGTATACATAGCAACGCCCTTAATTTAAACAATACTATAAAACCAATTTGTATTGTGGTTTATGTATAACTTGATATGTTTGGCTCTTAATTGTAATTGCTCTATTAATAACTTGATACGTTTGGCCAGGAAGTTAAAAATAACGAATTCGACACTAATTAATTATAATTGCTCTATTAATAGCTTTCAAGACCCATTACCTCACTGTATATATGAGTGTTTTGTTAAAAAAAATATGAAAAAAAGCGAAGATGGTTTATGTGGGTCACCACATTTTTGAAATGAAAATTAAGTGCTCCTAAATGATGTTATTGTTGTGCGTGCCGTTTCAATTCGTGTTTATAAATATAAAGTACAATCAGACTATAATTTTTTGGTCATGATAAGATAATCTATGTAATCAAATTTTTGTAAATTATATAACGTAATTATTTATAATTAAAATTATTATTTAAATATTAATTAATATGTTTATCTTTCTTTGTTGAAATATAACATAATTTGTAAATATAAGTTAAAAAATTAGTCTATCAAACATAAATATGTTGCCATACAAATTCAAAAATACCCAAAGAATAATACAAAAAGGTCAAATCCTGTAATAAGAGAATCAAACAGGGGCATTTTCCAGGGCGCACTCCTCGACGGCGATCCACTGCTGAAAACTACAGAGTGACCCCTCTCTCTCGGTCTCTGACTCTCTGACCTGTAAGCTCTGTGTTTCAGACACTGTGTGGGTCTTTGGAGTGTTTTTTGTTTCTGCTTGTTCAACATTGTTGTAAAAATTTGTACTCATAGACTCTCTCTCTCTTCAGCCTCTGTCTCATTGATTTTGATTCAACTTTTTTACTGCCTTGACAGAAACCATCCCTGCATTACCATTAATGCCATATCTATCACTTCCTTCAATCCCCACTAACCCTAAACTTTCCGTTTCTTTGTACTTTTTTTCTTCTCTGCCGTGAAGGAAGAGCAGAAATCAAGAATTGGATTTGGTAATGGTTTTTCGCTTCTGGGTTTAATCTTAATCACTTTTTAAGGTTTAAATGTGTGTGTATGTATATGCATATATATATATATATATGTATATGTATCATAGTGTAGAAGAATAGATATATTGTCGTTATAGAAGCTCTGCTTTTTTTTGAAGATTTTCTGGATTTTTAATGGTTTTCACGTGGTGGTGGGGTTGGTTGGTTGTAAATGCCGTATTTTCTTCCAGTTTAGTCTTGGCGTTAATGGGGCTTTCTCAAAAAATGTTGATTTGTTTTGGTCTTTCTGAGTTTTGTTGAGTGGTGGGTTGGGGAAGATTTCAAGCATATTATATTCTGTTGATTTGGGCTTAAAATATTCATGGTTAGCTGGTACAAATCAGTATTTTATACTTAAATTTTGTTGATATTTGTTTGGTTGCTGAGAAAACTGAGGAAAAACAATAGAAATTTTTTTTATCAGGACCTTCAGTTGATATTTCTTAATTTTCTCTCCATTCCACCATTGTGTGATTTTGTACAGAATCTGCTACATATTCGGTGCTGCTGGTGATTTGATTGTTCTTTTTGGGTACCTCATGCTGTGGGATCTGAAAATCTGAAGCTTTTTCTTTGAGGGACTCATTTGGCCGCTTTTACTTTTTCCGTTTGTTTCACTACTCAATTATTTGAAGGATCGAAAGCAGTCTGATACTATACACCTCTGTGTCGTTTTGCATATTCTGCATTGGTTCTCTCATTGTCGCTGGGCGTCAGGAAGTGTAAAATCAATCTTGCTTTCAGAACTAGAGGATTTACATACCAATCTGGGGGTGTTCGTCCAAAACCGTCACTGGTTGAGAAAGTGAGTATCCCAACTGGGTTTCTGAGTTAGATTCTTGGGAATTTAGGTGAATTGGGTAAAAAGGGTCTTTTCAATTGACGTTCTACAGCAGCTAAAGCTGCTAGAGGGACTGGTGGCGCATGTCTGTTAGTCAATGTCTCGGAATCTAGAACAGTGGGGGGCAGTCTAATTATGGAAATATTCGTTTCGATGTGTTTCTTTGCTTGTGGTTTGAGGGCATTTGAGAATTGAACAGTTTGAGCAAGGTGGTTTTGCAAAGATAGTGTGGTGTAAAATTTGACAATGAGTCGAGAACAGAAGCGGGGGAAGCAGGAGAAGGGCTCTGATGACGCTGAGAAGGTTGTCGTCGCGGTTAAGGCCTCGAAGGAAGTTCCTAAGACTGCTCTGGTCTGGGCCTTGACTCATGTTGTTCAACCCGGGGACTGCATAACACTGCTTGTGGTTGTGCCCTCTCAAAGTTCAGGTATATTTACTTTTCCTTTTCGATATTTTTACCCGTTTTTGTGTTCGATGAATGCATAATATTGGTATATTTTACTTCAATGCCTAGACCCTAATCGTTCCCCCTTTAGTTTTGCCTTGCAAAAGATCACACATCTTTTTGTTCCATCCTACTTTCTAAATGGGGTTGTTAATCTTTGTTTATTGCCCTTGTACTTTTTGTTGTATGAGATAATTCAGGTTGTTACAATTTAATGACTTGTAATTAGCACTGTGCAGTATCTCATTCTTTTTTATCAGTTAACTTTTAATGTTTTCTTTGCTGGTGAGGTTGGCTGTACGTTTCTTATCGACTTTGTGACTACAGCTTACACTGCAATTTGAATTTGTTTTGGGTTAATTTGAGGACGTTATCAGGATGTTTGGATTGAATTGTTCCAATTACAACTCTTGTAATTACTGTGAAAACAGACTTGCACTTGAGTTTTAGTAGAGAAGTTATATTGGTGAACCTTAGTCTTTATGCTTTAAATCCGGCAAATCTTTTCCATTTTCGCAATTGTTTACTTGTTGAAAATTTTGATGCTGACAACTTAGTCATATTTCCCAATTTTCAGGTAAAAAGTTATGGGGCTTTCCAAGATTTGCAGGGGATTGCGCCAGTCACCGGAAGTCTCATACAGGAACAACCTCAGAGCTGAAGTGTGATATATCAGATTCCTGCTCGCAGATGATCCTTCAGCTTCATGAAGTTTATGATCCAAATAAGGTAATTTCATTGATATTTGATACCTATTATTATAATGTACATTTCCATGTATGTTGATGCCTTGTTTGACTCTATTTTGCAGATAAATGTCAAGATAAAAATTATTTCTGGATCACCTTCTGGTTCTGTGGCGGTAGAGGTCAAAAAAGCTCAAGCCAGTTGGGTTGTTTTAGACAAGTAATGCTCTATTTGTTTTTCTTTTCCACAAATATGCTTGTAGTTTACAACTTTATGAACAGGGTATTGTGTCCTGCATTGAAAGTATTTACCTTCGCCTAAATATTAATGTGTTTGTGATGTTTACAGACATCTTAAACATGAGGAAAAACACTGCATGGAAGAGCTGCAGTGCAACATTGTGGTAATGAAGCGTTCCCAGCCAAAAGTTCTTCGCTTGAATTTGAATGGATCATCTAAGAAGGAACCTGAATTGGCCAGTTCCTTGCTGTCCGAGCATGGTGCAGGGTCTGATAAACATCCCAAGCAGAAGAATGATTCTTTGAGTTCCATTCGAGGGCCAGTTGTGACTCCATCTAGTAGTCCAGAGCTTGGGACGCCATTTACAGCCACTGAGGTTGGAACTTCATCAGTGTCAAGTTCAGATCCAGGAACTTCACCTTTTTTCATTCCAGAAATAATTGAAGATCTGAAGAAAGAGGAATCGTTAGTTAATAAAGAAAACAAGGTTCTTGATGACAGTAGTTCAGACACAGACAGTGAACATTTATCAGCTTCTTCAAGAAGTTTGGGGTTCCAACCATGGATAGGTGAATTTCTTAATTCTCATTGCCCATCCTCGCAACACATGGAAGACAGCTCACACAGAAGTAACGATAATTCAAAAGCATCTATTACCAAGGATTTGCTGAAATTTTTGAAACTTGATAAAGATGCTGGAATTGGAATGCGAAATTTTAGAGCTGACATGGAGTTCAGTGGAAATCTGAGAGAAGCAATTTCACTGTCTAGTAATGCTCCTCCAGGCCCCCCTCCATTATGTTCAATATGTCAACACAAGGCACCTGTTTTTGGAAAACCTCCAAGGTGGTTTAGCTATGCAGAGCTGGAGCTTGCTACTGGAGGATTTTCGCAAGCCAATTTTTTGGCCGAAGGAGGGTTTGGTTCTGTTCACAGAGGGGTGCTACCGGATGGCCAGTCTGTTGCTGTCAAGCAACATAAATTGGCTAGTTCTCAGGGGGATCAGGAGTTCTGTTCAGAAGTAGAAGTCCTGAGCTGTGCTCAGCACCGAAATGTTGTCATGTTGATTGGCTTCTGTATCGAGGACAAAAGAAGATTGCTGGTCTATGAATATATATGCAATGGGTCATTAGATTCGCATCTATACAGTAATATATCTTTCTCTGGCAGTGGTAAACTTTTCTGTATTGAATGATACTTGCTGTTAATTTTATGTGAAACCATGTTGCGGACTCACAACGGATCTGGGTTTATTTCAGGGCAACATCGTGAGCCTTTAGAATGGTCTGCACGGCAAAAGATCGCTGTAGGGGCAGCTCGAGGGCTACGATATCTTCATGAAGAATGCAGAGTGGGATGCATTGTGCACCGTGACATGCGGCCAAACAACATCCTCATCACCCATGATTTTGAGCCACTGGTACCGCAACCTTTTAGTGCTGTTTTCAGATGCATGAATTGTGTATTTCGCTAGCTCGTTAGTAGATAAAACTGTTTACTTTATTCACTTTCTTGCAAGGTTGGGGATTTTGGCCTCGCAAGGTGGCAGCCTGATGGGGACACGGGTGTGGACACAAGAGTCATTGGAACATTCGGGTAAATCTCAACTAGCAGGCTTTACCAATGCGATTTGACCTTCCATCCAACTCTGTTATATGCTGCTCTGCAATTGTCTGATGTGTTCTTTTCTGTTGCAGATATTTGGCTCCTGAATATGCTCAGAGTGGTCAAATCACAGAAAAGGCTGATGTTTATTCCTTCGGGGTGGTCTTGGTGGAACTTGTTACAGGGCGAAAAGCTGTGGACCTTAACCGGCCTAAGGGGCAGCAATGTCTCACTGAATGGGTACGATTAAGCAAGTTGTAAATATACATATGTTTACCGATTTTGTTCTAGTCTGTTGCCCGATGTTTGTTGCTTATAACTTTAGATCCAACACAGGCGCGGCCATTATTAGAAGAATATGCCATTGATGAACTGATTGACCCAAGACTTGACAACTTCTATTCCGAACACGAGGTTTACTGCATGCTGCACGCTGCTTCGCTATGTATACGGCGGGATCCTCAATCTAGGCCTCGCATGTCTCAGGTAAAGTGTAACTCATGGAAAAAAGACATCCCAGCTTGTTCTAATAGACTTGCACTTCCATCTTACTTAGGCTTTGTAGGCAACTTATCTTGAATGTATTGGCACATGTTTGTTTCGTGTTCTTTAAGGTTCTCCGTATACTAGAAGGTGACATGGTGATGGATACAAATTACATGTCAACGGCCGGGTACGATGTAGGATGCCGGAATGGTCACGATGTGGGATGCCGGAGTGGTCGACTTTGGTCAGAGCAGCAGCAGCAGAAGGAACATCATAGCGGCCCTCTATTCGACGAAGCGATGGACGGGTACGAGAAGCTCTCTCGTGAGAATTTAAGGCCAGGTTTCAGGGAGAGGGACAGGGTAAGGAGGACTCCATGTGAAAACCATTTGTAAAGCGCTCGCCCTTCAGAATTACACATATTTGGTGGACTAAATATGTGAGCTACCTTTTTGTAATGTAATCCATATTCCTTGATATTTTGGTTAATGCCACCTGTGTTGTGCTTCTGTATAGTAAAAAGAAGAGAGTAGCAAGTTTTATTGGTGAATCTAATGAAAAATACCACTTCAACCGTGCCGCGGATGCCATGAGCATGTTTTTGGGCAAATTGAGAAACTCGGCCGAGCACTGATTCTAAACGTGTAGCGCTACAACTAGTATTCGTTCTATTTGTATGCCAGATAAAACATAAATTGTAACCACACTGCATGCGTTCAGGTCACAACTATCTGCAAAATTTGTAATAGGAAGAATCATATGTAGTCTTACAATGTTGGGGTGTTTGAATCTCAAAATTAAAGTTAAACTTGGAGCACGGTAACGGCTACGCTGGGTTTAGAAAACAGCGGTTGGTGCAGCATGGTCGAAAACAGGATGCTTGAACCTGCCTGAATGTCGTTTACCTCAGTCCCCTTTCTTCTACGACTTCCTCATTTTAGACCTTGCATATCTAGAGGAGATGAAAAGTTAATTAATAATGTGATTGTTTTGCACAGAGGATAATAGACATTGAGAGAGGGGGAATACTCTATATGCATGCCGCCCCTGTCTGAAGACGGTAACGAGCTTCCTACGAAGTTCATCCATGGCTTTATTAGCTTGTTCAATTTCCTGCCAGAGAATAAAGAACTTAGTCAGACTCAGACTATTAGCTTTGGTGCTAAAACGACTCTTTGATTGCATACTTTGTTTTTGTTTTAATAAAATATTGAAGAACGAAAAATAATACCCAACATATTCATTCATACTATGTGTATTAAGCTCCTAGGTACCAAGTTCAAATCTTTTTCTCTTTCCTAAATGTCGTAACTGAACAACGAAAATGTCAGCATTAAGGATGGGGTACCTCAAAATCAGCAAATGCAACTGGCATTCCACCTTTAGCACGCAGTTTGATCACGTTGAATCCAGGATACCTGACACCAATTGAGGTCATCATTTTTCCAGTAATTTATTCAAAGGATGATTATGCAGTTTAAATATGGAGATAGTCCGAGGAGAGCCAGCTAATAAGAAGTTTATTCAACCAAATCTCCCCCGTCCTTTTCAATACAACGACAAGTGAGAGTATCCAGGAGAAGAATAGCAGCTACTCACTGAGATAGAACTTGCTTCAACTCATCTTCCGTGCAATTTGGACCTAGATTTGCAATGAACAGAGTAGAACATTGTCCTGCATCAACATGCTTTTCGGGTTGGTCCTGCACAACCAATTAGGAAACCAGATAGGAAACGTTTACATTTACAATCGTACCTATGTAAATGTTCTGCATCTATTTTCACATGGCACTCGTACAAATGTGTGAAGTGAAGTTGAAATCACTTTAAAGTTTAAATTTGAAACTCCGAATTTCAAGTTTAGATTAAAGACTCCAAATTTTGTCAAAATATCACAGGCTTTCTTTGCAAATCCTTAAACTCTGCAGTACATTGTTTTAACAGACTTTCGGCTAAAGATGGTTCCTACATAGGAAGAAGAAACAAGCCTGAATAAAATAATAGAATATATCTTGTTCTCATAAAACAAATATTTAGGGGCTGTTTGATAACAATTTCATTTTTAGTTTTTAGTTTTCAGTTCACTTTTTTGAAAACTAAAAACTCAAATCTTGTTTGGTAACTACTTCCTTGAGTTTGCAAAATTTGGCCTTGAGTTTTCACTTTTTGGTTTTGAGTTTTCTTTTTTTTAAAAACTGAAAACTGAAAGTAGTTACCAAACAAGATTTCAGTTTTCAAAAAAAGTGAAAAGTGAAAACCAAAACCGAAATGGTTAGCAAATGGCCCCTTAGTGTATCTTTGCATGCTTGCTTATCTCACACTATAAGGCAATGGTCTTAGTATTCTTCCACTTCAAGCTTCAAACAGTAGAAACAAGAAGCTAGGAAGTAAAGAGTAGTAGTGGTCTGACTAACACAGACAGAAATCACAAGACTTATCAACAACATAATGAAAGCCGTTTTGTTAATAACATTATCATAGATTTCACTTACATTTACAGCAGCTACAGCATTCTCAGAATCCACCGCAGTCTCACCGCTGCACATAACCAACAAGAAAATAGACTTAGCTCCTATCAGAAGATAAGCAATAATTCTGCTATATTTGCAGTCCTGTACAGGATATCAATTGAAGAATGTAACAAAAATATGCACTTATCCAGCTCTTTCAACCTCTTCGCGGTTGCTAGATCACTCTTGTCCCCAGAATCATGATTGTCAGTTTCAGATGGTTCATCAGATTCACTTTCTCCTGAATGTGCAAAAAATGTCATCATGCACAAGTGAGTCATAGGATCATGGTCAGGTGGCAATGCCTATCCCTTGTGAAATATTGGTTATGCACAATTCACATGAACAAGTAAGAGATAACAAAAGTCTAAGACCGTACGAGAAAAAGAAATAGAAGTTTTCTAAAACAGGAGTTACTAACAATCACAAACATAATGGGGGAAATGAAATTCAAAAAGAAGAAAGCACATTACCATCATCACTAGACGTTTCTTGGGTATCGGCCTCTTTTTTAGTTCTTTTATCTATAACAACATAAGCTCCACTACCTGTTCACATAGCATGCTAATTACGACTATGAAAAGGTAAAAAATCTCACTATATTGTCTCCGATAAAAAATGCAAAATTGTAAAATCAATAAATATCACACGCTAAAATCAACCTGGTTTACGCTTCCTTCTTGAGTTTGATCTGGCAAGTTCAATATGCAGCAGGGTCCCAGCTTGAGGATCAAATTTCACACCCTGGTGATTGCATCAAAGGAAATACAAACTCAGACAAAACACCAATTATAACCCAAGTTTCATACATTTGTCATATCATTGAAAGGCATAGAATCATAGATACAGTCCTCTTTCAGACTCGAAACTTTGACATTCAACACCAACATCTAAATAGAACGAAAAATCAGAACTCATGAAATTCGAAAACACTAAAAAACCGCTAAAATAAAATCTGGAAATCCTCCTTTTTCCGCCCAAATTTCTCCGAAATCATGTACAACAGCATTACACACACACTTTGTTAACAGAGATTAGATTAGAAAGAAGATTCATGTTAACAAATTCCTAATTAGAAGCTCAATTACTCATATAAAATAGCAAATGCACACATAAATATATGAAAATAAAAATTTGAAGCTATTATTTTTGCTCACATTTAACGAATGCAGGGCTGCCATTGCTGACTGGTGATTGAAGAACGTAGCAAAAGCAACGACCTGAAACAAATAAACAAAATTTTCGTTCAATTTTCCCTGAAAAAAAAAAAAAAAAAAAAAAAAAAAACAGTAACAGAAACAGAAATATTCAGAGATGTAGACAAAAGGGAAAAGCTTTACCTGGTTGCCGCGACCCGTGTACTTGAGCTGGCAAGAGTCGAAGCCCGGGCGCCGGCGGAAGAGGTTGTGAATCTCACGCGCTTTGACGTCGTCAGGGAGGCCGGAGACGAAGAGCGTGTTGATCGCGCTCCGGTCACTGTAGTCCTGTGGTTGTGGTGGCGGTACTGGTTGCGGTTGCTGCTGTAGATAGTAGGGATCGTACGGTGGATGAGCCATTTGATTGGCCGGAGAATTGGACCGCTGAGATTGAAGAGTGAGTGAGTCGGTGCGGCGAGATGGTGGTGGTGGAGGAGGTGGTAGTTCTCAAGTCTGAACCGAGATTTTGGGATTTTCGGGAGACAAGACATGAATATTTTTAACCAACGCCAAACAGTAATATTGCGTTTTTTGGGATCAAGAGTAGATTCTCTTCCATTTTTTTTTTTTTTTTTTCTTTCTCCTCCTATTTGAAGGATGTTAAATCATGTCAACATCTTATATTAATTTTTTATAGCAAAAAATAAAATAAAATAAAAGAATGTGAGAGGGATGGAAGGGGATGAAAAGAGGAGAGGAGAGAATCCTAATCCCTTTTGAAGAGAAACTCGACGCCAAACAGTAATTTAGTTTATAAACTTTTTTAATGAAATATATAATATATTGTTTTTGTCACACAATAAATTTGTTAGATTAGAAGGATGTTAATAGAGTTCGAATCTACGCCGTCGTGGTGCAATGACAACACTCTTCTTCATCACTATATTAAAGGGCTACTTGCAAAATATTTAATATGGGGATTAAGGGTTTTTACAAGGGTAAAATATTTAGAACAATCTTAAATTTTTTATATACTTCACGGATCACACCAAGAAATATTTAAATTCATAATTATTACTCACGAAGGGTTGACAATCATGTTTATAACCTTGGCTTGAATTTGATTTACAAACAAAAAAATTCAACTTGGTTTCGAAACCCCTAAAAACTCGAATTTTCCATCAACTAAACATGAAAATAAAAATTAAGTTTAGCTTTGGATAGTACCCAATAAAAATGATTTCCGCATTTTTTTTTGTTTCAATGCATATTCGGATAAAAACTAGCCTTTGATTTAATAAATAAAATTAAGAAACATAAATAAATTTGGTTTTGCAAATAAAAAAAAAAATCTCTTTAATAATAAGGGAGAAGAGTCACTAAGTATCGTGGTCTCTTGGTGAAAAGTCTTATATTTGAATCTTCTTCACGAGTAAATAAAAAGTTTTAGTTTGGTTTGAATCTCGTGGAAAACGAATTTGATATCAATTGGACGATTATAAGCAAAAGTTTTTTTCTATCTAAATGCTTCCAAACAAGTTTAAATGAGCTCTATTAGGAAGTCTGCAATGCAGTAGACCTCTTTGCACATGGGTGGGCCTTTTCAACACTGGTGGCCCAGCTATGAAGACTTACATTTCTAAAGTGTTTATGTAATAATCATGCGTTAAATATTGTATTGTTGTAGGCCTATTTGATTTAATTGTATAAGGGACAGAGAGGTAAAGGGATCGGCGGCAACAGAGAGAGAAACGAGATATGTAATTTTGAGGTGCATGTTGTATCACCCCCTTTTGCCTTTATTTATAGTAGTAAGATAGATAGAATCCTTACCCTAATAGGATTACATCTCCAATAGGAATTAAACTACTAAAGGGAATACTCCTAGATACACTAGGATTTACGCAATCACATTCCTAATACTGCAACACTCCCCCTTGAGTGTGTAAATACTCAAACAAAACGTCGCATCATATCTTCACCAAATAAGGTAGAACAGTTGATGAAATCGTCAGCACAACGGGTGAATGTGAGTCCCAGATATAAGAAAGTAAGTATGCATTGGTAGTAAAACTCACAAAACCTCGCTACGGTAAAACCTAAGGCAGGCAAAAACCCATAGGCTAAGGAGAAAAATGAGAAGTATGCATAATGTCTAAAACAAACGTCAAACATGACGAAAGTAGTGAACTCAACAGAGTATGATCATCTCAAGATGGGTGCCTTATCAAAACCTCGTTACGTAGCAAAAATCCAGTGGGAAAAATGCTCCTAATCATAGGAAAAAGAGTACATTAAGATCAAGTGAGTATGTTTTAGGATACTCCACCTGAGTTAGACATAACTTCAAATAAGAGAACTACAAGCAATTCAACTTAGCTAATTTACGTATACAGATTCCTTGGATGAGCTTCTGAAAAGTAGATTTGGGCAATGACTTGGTAAAGAGATCGGCCAGGTGTCCTGGGAACGGATTTGCTTGACTTCAATGTTTTGATGTTGTTGTTGTTAGTGAGAATAAAAGACTTTCAATGCTATGTGATTGGTGTTGTCTCCCTTGATGTATCCCTTCTTTAACGGCTCGATACATGTTGCATTGTGTTCAAAGATTGTCGTAAAAAGGTCAACGACGAAAGTAAGAGTACTAGTGCTTCGAATATGTTACATGACTACTCTCAACCAAAAGCACTTTCGCAAGGCTTCATATAAGGCAATAATCTCAGCATGGTTCGAAGAAGTTGCAACTAGCGTTTGCTTGGTAGACCTCCAAGATATAGCGGTGTCTCTAACGATAAAAACATAACTCGTTTGAGAACGTGCCTTATGTGGGTCAGACAGAAAACCAGCATTTGTTTAACTAACGAGGCGGGAATCATCTCGAGGACTGAGGGGGACCAAGGGGGTGACGGCTCCTCTCAAGGATTCGTGGGACAAGCCAAATCCGTCGTACCCTTGAGGTAGCGGAAAATGTCTTTAATACCATTTCAGTGTTTGCGTGTAGGCGTGTTGCTATATCTAGCCAAAAGATTAATAGCGAATGAGATGTCGGGTCTGGTGCATTGAGCCAAGTACAATAAAGCACCAATTGCACTTAGGTATGGAACTTTAGGCTCCAGAATCTCATCCTTATCTTCTTTGGGACGAAAGGGATCTCGTTTAGCATCTGGAGTCCGAACGACCATAGGAGTACTTGAAGGCTTCGCTTTATCCTCATTAAAATGTCACAACACCTTATGGGTGTAGTTCGATTGATGTACTAGGATTCCATCCGAAATGCTCGATCATCAAGCCAAATATCGAGTTTTCCTAAGATCTTTCATCTCAAATTCTGATTTCAAGTAAGGGGCAATTTCCTCAAGCTCTGCGGGAGTTTCGATAAGGTTCATGTCGTCGATATAAACTGCAACGATCGCAAATCCAAAATGTGACTTCTTAATGGACATGCATGGGTATAGTTCGTTGTTCACATAACCCTGACTTGTCAAATATTCACTTAGATGGTTATACCATATCCACTTGAATTGCTTCAATTCGTAGAGTGATCTCCTGAATCTAATAGAGATAGTGATCTGTGGTCTAGAACTATTTGAACCAGTCAATAGAAGTCCTTTTGGAACTTTCATGTAGATTTCTGTATCTAGATCCCCACAAAGATACGCAGTTACCACGTCCATAAGTTGCATATTCAGTTTTTTCGAAACTACCAAATTGATAGCAGAACGTTATAATGTCCATTATAGGGGAATACGTCTCCTTGTAATCAATTCCAGGGCGTTGGCAGAAGCCTTGCGCTACGAGGCATGCTTTGTATTGCACTATTTCATTATTCTTATTACATTACCTCACGAAAACACACTTGTAGCCCACGGGTTTCACATGTGGTAAAGTAGGAGCTACAAGCGCAAACACCTTTCGTTTCGTGAGCGAATCGAGTTTGACCTAGATTGCTTGTTTCCAGTTTAACCAATTTGTTCTACTTCGACATTCATAAAAGGAACGTGGTTCAATGTTATCACTAAGCATGATATCGAAAGCAACGATACATGTGAATGCATCATCGACAATTATCTCATTTCAATTTCAAACCTTATCCAATACTGCATAATGGATCGAAATCTCACAATTCTTAAGAGGCCGAGTTGTCTCATCTAAGACATCATAGTAATCTAAAATAACTTCATGCGTTAAAACAAATGAGTAAGCAATGGTTAGATTCAGACTAGGGCCACTAGTTTGTCCCGTTTTCATTTTTCGGGGTTATGAATCATTTGAACCAGGGGGCCTGCCACGTTTCAGGTTAGAAGCAGGTGATTGGCTAATCGCCAATGTACCTTACCATGTGGGAGGTGCGATTGCCCTACCCTCAGGGACGGTCTTGCCTTCCACGACAGTGTTACGACATACGTTAAGTACATCTATCCTTGCAGGTGCGTTTGTAGCAGGTATATGTGTCGTCACCATTGCTAGATCAGTAAAAGCATCCGGCATGTTTTGAGCGATGCTCTGAAGATCTAGAATACGTCGCACTTCAGTTTCAGACTGAGGATTATGAGGATCTAAATAAGACATAGTAGAAGTAATCCACGGTAATTCGCGGCGTTCTGCAAGAACGTTAGTGATCTTATCTCCCCCTAACGATGGGAAGACTATCCCATCGAAGTGACCATTTGCAAAACATGCGGTAAAGAGATCTCCTATCAAGGGCCTTAAGTAATGAATGATTGATGGCGAATCATGACCGACATAGATTCCCATTTTTCTCTAAAGACCTATTTTCGTGCGTAGTGGCAGCGCTATTGGCACATAGATTGCGCCCCAAACACACGTAAATGCGAGGCGTCAAGCTCGTATCAAGCTCGATACATGCTACATTGTCTTCAAAGATCGTCGTAGAAAGGTCAACAATAGAAGAAATACCACTAGTGCTTCGAATATGTTCCATAACTGCTCTAAACCAAAAACACTCACGCGAGGCTTCATGCAGGGCAAGAATCTCAGCATGGTTTGAAGAAGTCGTAACTAGCGTTTACTTGGTAAACGGTAAAGACATAGCCTGTTTGAGAACGTGCTCTATGCAGGTCAAACAGATAACTAACTTATGCGTAACCAACGAGGTGAGAATTAACCCGAGGACCGAGGGGATGGTGGCTCATCTCGAGGATTTGTGGGTGTAAAACAAGCCCAAATCCATCGTACCTTTGAGGTAGCAGAATATGTCTTTAACACCATTCTAGTGTCTGCGTGTAGGGGAGTTGCTGTTTCTAGCCAAAAGTTTAACATCAACGAAGATGTCTGGTCTAGTGTATTGAGCCAAGTACAATAAAGCACCAATTGCACTTAGGTATAGAACTTCAGGCTCCAAAATCTCTTAATCCTTCTTCGGACGAAAAGGATCTCGTTTAGCATCTAGAGTCTGAATGACCATAGGAGTATTTGAAGGCTTCGCTTTATCCTCATTAAAACGTTGCAACACCTTATGGTTATAGTTTAATTGATGTACTAGGATTCCATCCGAACAATGCTCGATCTTTAGGCCGAGGCAATATCGAGTTTTCCCAAGATCTTTCATCTCAAATTCCAATTTCAAGTGCGTGGTAATTTCCTCAAACTCTGCGGGAGTTCCAATGAGGTTCATGT